ACATGAAAAACTGTATCACTAAAAACCTCCAGCCCGCTCTAAAGTAAAATTATCCGATCTCTGATAAGGCCCAGAACACCATTACTGTTGTCAAAACGACAAAATTGATTGAATATTGTCGTATGATAAGGGAAATGTCAACACAAGGCTCCTGTTAGGTAACGGCAAAAATATCTATCTTTAATTTCACACTCCCTTGAAGAAAACGGATAACCTCGTCACGTGGGCTGTGCTCGCTCAATCACAAGCGAGATAAGGAACAGAGCTCTTTTATTTGTGAAAATATGTCACCAGGAGCAATATCGCTTTTTCCTTCGTGCCGCGTTGCACACACTGTAGTATTTGTAGTATAATATCTATATAAAAGCCAGATTACACAGAAATTAGGTTATTAATATTGCTGTTCCTTAATAGTTGGTGCTCATAAGAGAGGAAAACCCAGCACATATTGGGTATCTGACTTTTTCCCCCCTCTCTTCTCATAGTTTATATGTCTCAGCAGTTCTCTTAGTAAAACGTATTAACATCTTTCATTACAGGCCTTCTGGAAAACAATGTGCAAATGCTTTTAAAACCACAGGCATCTGGTTTAGAATGCAGACACTGTCAGATCCTATTTTCCAATTAAGCTTTGTCAAATTAATTAATGGGAAAGATGAGAACAGTTTAATGATGGGTAATAAAAACCATGTCCAACCATGAGACTAGGAAGTTTCCAATCCTTTCTGGTATGTTCTAAAGTCATCTTGTGCTTACTGTAGACATATACTCAGGTGTTATGTTGGTAAACATTAACTATGCTTTGAGTAACAGGCCTACAGTTAATCAGAGAGTTCAACTGAGTTCACTGTTTATTCTCATTGCAGGAATAAACCATAGATAGCATAAATCTCACTAATTTTAGCCTTATTATTTAATGACAGGTCTTATAGCATTGAACAATGACTCTATTATAACACTTTTAACTCTGCTTTGCAGATTATTTGTGGATGCATAGACACAAGTAGTAGACACAGAATATATGTGTACACCGCCCATCATCAGAAAGAAACTGAGAAGAAACAAACGATTTGTATTTTATCTTTTTTATTAGATATTAAACTAAGTGGTCCAGGGTCGGAGAAACCAAACTGGTCACTTTTACTGGGTTTACTGGGTCAGCTCCCACTTTTGAGATGCTGTGGCCCCAGTTTTACAGTCTAAAGATACACATAACAGTGCTAATGTCATGACAACTGACACTATGTTTGTTAGATGAAGCACTGTATATAGATACTATGGACTGCTGCACATCAGTAGCTCTGTACACTGCTGTCGGCTGCTGAGTCTGAAACAGACTGACTCAGTGGGTTTTTGATTTGTCGAACAGCTGTTCGAGTTCTTCTTTAGAGGTTGCCTCTTTCTGCTGCATCAGATCAGCATGGCCCTTGGTAACACCCCAAGAATCAGGGACAGACATGGAGGGACACTGGGGACGACCGGAGGCTGGCTTCAGGTTCTCCCAGTAATCACGTCGGGCTCTAAAAGTCAACAGACATAAAAAAAAACAAGAGTGATTACTGGTAGTAAACAGCGAATATGTCATATTTCACAAAGTATTTTTAAGTATTAGAATTAATAGTTGCTTCTGTTCTGACCTGGCTCTAACCCAAGGCTTGGTGTGCATTTCCAGACCAGCACCCCAGGAGCCATGTTTCTCTGATGCACTTGGAAGGAAGCCTCTCTCAGGTGCCAGTTCCTCTGCTATAGCCCTAATGTGATAAGCCTCAAAGCCACAGCAGCCACCGATGAAGCGAATGCCAGCATTGTAAGCTTCTCTGGCATACTTGTGCATGTCCCAGCGAGTCAGAATCCTGGGCTCCAGGCCTGAAAGAGAAAAAAAACATTTTTTTATGCACATTTAAATTACAGTTTTGTAGTTTGTGGTGAAAGTTTGCTGTTCTGTGTTGGCTGGCTGAACTTTCTGCAATGCAGTGTAGCATATTCACCAGCAGAGGGCATATATAAGGACAGTGCGTATCCAGAACAGTTGGAATGGCAGATTTATAATACAAGACAGTATCTCGTTACCGAAGGGGAACTCTGGCAGGTCAATAAATCCCTGGCAGTTGCAGTCAGGAGTGTGGTATGCCAGCGGCTGAACCATGTAGTGAGCCTTCAGACCAGCCTTCTCCACTCCCTCCTTCATCTGCTTCACGGTCTCCACACAGGTCATGGGGTCAAAGTGACAGTTGACTCCCACAATCTGGGCACCTGTAGAACAAAATACACCACATGCAGTAACATGAACTGTGTGTGAGAGTGTAAGAAAATACATGGCTGACACCTAATCAACTGTGGTTTGCAGTTGTGGGTATAAGGTCTTTGAATGTATTTGTGTTTAGTGGGAACATTTTTGTGCATGTTACTGAATAAAATAACTATTGGCCACTGTTTTGGCCTGTACAGGCTCATCCCAGAAAAAAAAGGAAATCCTAACAGAAGAAAACCAATTACAGGTATCATATGCCATTTTTATTCCTTATAAATTAGTTACACTATGGTGGCACAGATGCTGAAGTTTTGTTCATTTTTACTGTCCAATAAATTGCTGTCGGGCCAATAGTCACTCACTCTTGTAGTAGAAATACACCAAGTGACCTCACATGAATGTAAAGGTATATAAACCTCAGTTGATAAGAAGTCTTGAACTTTTTGTGTCTGATAAGGCTCACAGGGAGACAGTCTGTAATTCTTTTCTGCTGAAACAACATAAAAATTGACAAAGATAACTGTACTCACCGGCTTTGACCAGCCTGACTGCACACTCTCCGGGTGAGACACCGTGCATGTCCCCCTTTGGTCCAATACACAGAGAAGTAGCCACAGGCTTCCCTGTCTCCTTCATCACCTCCACAGCCCACACGGCCTCTTCAACATGCTCAAAGTACTAAAGGACAAAAGCATTAAGCTCAAACAAAACTTCTCTCAGCAAGTAAAAAACACTCAAAACTGGTTCAATGGCAGTTTTACACCTTTGGAATCCTCCAGAAAAAGTTTTTAAAAAATGCCAAAGCGTTCGGTGTAGCTACCTCAGCAATCAGGAAGTCCACATTTTTCTTGATGAACACATCCAACTGTTTTCTGAAGATGGCCTTCACATCTGCCTTGCTCTTGCAGCTCAGGTAAGATGGAGTTTGAGACACTCCTCCAGCAACAAGAGCATCACCCTCATTGGCAACCTCACGGGCTAAATCACAGGCAGCCTCATTGATCTGAGCTCCCTGTAGAACGAAGCCACAATATGAACCCCAAATAATAATCAAAGAGACTCTTCAAATACACATTTAAAATATTTTTGTTTTGATAAAGAATGAAACTTGCTGTAATTTCCCTTTTAACTTACAGTCAGTTTGAGGTTGTTGCCTCTGTTCTCAAGTTTGTCATCACTGGCGTAGAATGTAAAGGTCTGCATAACGTTGGACCCGGCTCTCAGGAACTCCCTGTGCAGCTGTCGCACTGAAAATCATCAAGTGGTTGCATCATAGGACAAACGCTGTGCCAAAGCAATCTAAAATGTAACATACACTGCCAGGTATTTACAGGCAGACCCAGCAATGGATAATGGAAATCCAATTTTAAGATGTAACGGAGTGGCAGTTTTGGTACAGCAGTATGTTCTTACCTGCATCAGGATACTGTACAGAAGCTTCAGGCGTCCATGGTCCGGCCTTTACGTACCCCCTCTTCTCCAGAGCAAACACAAATCCTCCATCACCAATCACCACCTCACCAGCATTGAGACGTTCAAGGATGCCCTTTGGAAACAGAGGGATCCATGGACAAGCTTAACCTGTGCTCAGTGGATCATTTTGCAAATATCACTGTGGAGCCAGTAAAGCCAAAGAAATTGCAAACTGTATATTTTAAAGAAACTTGTAATCAATATCAGCTTATACACAGTTAAATCAATTGTCTGGCCTTGTGGATTGCAGATTCCTATATCCTGTACCACATCTGTCTTCCCACGCTGAAAGTTTGTTTTTAAAGGTTTGTTCCTTTAAAAAGCTCAAAAAAAAATCCTGTAAGAGTTGCAAAAATCAAAATCAAATAATATTTTGAAGTAAGTCTTGTTATTTTTAATCTACAGGAAAAAGTCAAAACCTAGGGTAATATCAAAGGAGACTGCAAGTGAACTGAGCAAACACATTGAGTGTTCCTAATATAAGATGAATGCTTAATGAAGAAAATGTTTTTTATAATCCACATTTTATGAAATCTTATTTTTAAATGGCAAAAAATCCAAACTATCTCATTAATTATGTGCTACTTTGCATAAATCCCTGCTACAGATTGAATAAACACCTAACTGTGTGTTTTGCACACATCTTTAGTCTAGCAATAGAAGCAAAATCGGCTAAAATATTAAAACTGACCAGTGGATAATATAAATATAAACATGCTTGCAGTGTGACACTCTAAGATTTTTTTAAGCTACCATTATTCCGTATACAAATTAAAAATGGAATAAATAAAATGAGCTCCATTGGTCTTTCTGTATGCCTAATAGCATCAAGAAGGTTCAGTGGTCTGAGAAATGACCTGATGTTCTACACAGAATACACACCACTCAAAAAGACTACCATAAACATGCAGTATGATACCCCAGCCTCACAACCTTTCACCCACATTTAACTTACAGCGTGAGATGGGAGCAGAAATCTCAGACAGAAATACTAACCCCACCGTGGATCATTATGATTGCTATAATAATTTCACAAAACTAACTTTTCACAGCATAACCCTACCTCTGGACAAAAAAGTCTGCACATACCTTTTTTGCTGGTGCCATAATTTCACAGCTGTGTGGACCCCTGACTGCTCAGACCTCGAGATGCTGAAGTGACAGTAGAGTGGGGCAGAGGGCCAGATTAAATCTCTCTGAAGAAGGGGAGTGTTCTAAGTAAGAGCTGCTCTGATTGGCAAGGGAAAGGTTATGCAACTCTTTGAATGAGAGTATTGTGAATGTGCGATACTAGTTTGGTCCGGATTAGATGGTTCTTGGTGTTGTTGTTGGATTCCCTCCCAGTTTTTGGCCTTTTGTTTTCAACCTGATAGCAGGCAGGCATTAAAAGAAAAACAGAAAAACAGTCAAACACTAGATCACTTCACATATGTCTGCATGGGTGAAATTTGTAACAGACATTTTTGAGTAGTTTGATTTGTTGCAGCAGTCCAAGCACATGCTTCACAAAAACAACACAAAGCCATAAAGTGAAGTAAAAACTCAGGCTTATTGTTTTGGGGGTTTTACAGTTTAACACTCTACAGTCGGAGCACTGCTGTTACAAGTGCTTTTCATCGTCTAACTGAACTGGGAAAGACCTCACTCATCCCCCCCGTCTCTCTGTTGTTGACTGACTGGAGGGAAAGGTGCATTGATTTTCTTTATAATCTCATCCTCATACTGTGGACTTGGACTTCTGCACCTCCAGCACATGCCTCATTTCCTGGCTGGTGGTGGCCTCTTTGTGCCGAAGCAGTTCAGCATCACCCTTGGTCACACCCCAGCCTTCTGGTGTGGACATGGATGCGGATTTGGGGCGACCGGATGCAGGCAAGATCTTCTCCCAGTATTCACGACAGGACCTAGAAAAAAAGGGCAGGTTAGGAGACAGACACTAAAGAATTTTATTGCTACAATTGTATGAATCTGTCTAATCGTTTAAAATCCTTTACCTGGCTCTGACCCAAGGCTTGGTGTGCATCTCCAGACCACTACCCCACATTCCATGTTTCTCTGATCCAGCGGGTATTATGCCTCTTTCAGGGGCCAGTTCCTGTGCCAAAGCCCTGATGTGATAGGGCTCAAAACCACAGCAGCCACCAATGAATCGGATGCCAGCCTTGTATGCCTCCCTGGCATACTTATGCATGTCCCAGCGGGTTAGGATTCTGGGTTCTAGGGCTGAGAGGAGAGGGGATAAGAGGATATGAAATGATGGCCACTGCAAGATAGCCTGCTTTTTTCTTTTTTAAATATGCACAAAAAATATTTTACCGAAGGGGAACTCTGGCAGATCAATGAATCCCTGGCAGTAGCAGTCAGGAGTGTGGAATGCTAGCGGCTGAACCATGTAGTGAGCCTTCAGACCAGCTTTCTCCACTCCCTCTTTCATCAACTTCACGGTCTCCACGCAGGTCATGGGGTCAAAGTGGCAGTTGACTCCCACAATCTGGGCACCTGCAAAACAAGGGGGGATTTGATTATTTTTGCCTTTAAGTAAAAGGAAGAAAAAGAAAACATATGACTATAAATTTGCGTACCAGCCTTCACCAGCCTGATTGCACACTCTCCAGGTGAGACACCATGCATGTCTCCCTTTGGTCCAATGCACAGAGAAGCAGCTACAGGCTTTCATTTTTCAGGCTACATTTTTAAAAATAATGACAAAGAACACACAAAGATGGTTCCATATATAATGTACTGTGGTTGAGAAATTAGTTATCTCTGTGTGCAATGACAATTTTATGAATCTGTAAGTATTGCTGTTTAAGTACAAAGGTGTAAAGATAAAAAGCAATTTTTAGCTTGAGATTCTCCATCACTGAGTGCTCCAGTCTGGATATTTCACAGACCACATGCTCACACATGCATGAAACATGCACTGGCAACATTTCCTTTACAGCACCACAGTCCACTAACCAGCTCTGCATATTGCACTTGGTGTGTAAAACAACACACAGTGGAGCATAGTGTGCAGAGGGTTTATTTTACCTTCTTCACAGGTGCCATGTTCCCCGTTCTAGCTGCAGCACAAAGCACTTTGTAACAGCGAACCCCTCTTTAGGCCTGAAGAGTGCCTGAGATCCCTGCGTCGCTCTTTTTATACTGTTGCAGGTCCAGGACGACTTTAAGTTTGAACCAAATTCATGCCAAATTGCCCCATGTTTGTTTGGAAATTGCATAACAAAGTCAACAATTAACTGGGTTGAGTAAAACAGGGAAAGAGAATGAAAGGGAAATCTGCCTGTGTAATGATTGTAGCAGCAGGCTAAACCTTCACATTAACTCACTCCCGTTTGTCCCAAGCATTTTTTTTTGTTCATGTTTTTATTTTTCTATTTTTTTGCTTTTATTTTCCGCAGACCGCAGAGATTGCCTTATCACGTAAGCTCGAGAGCATATGCCTATACTTCTGCTTTTGACATAATTTTTCTCAGGGTTTACCTTGAGCATGCAAATGCATTTACATGTTTGTAACAGCATGCATTTGTGTCCTCAAAGACCTAGCTTTGGGATGTCACAAATTTAGTCTGTCCTGGTTTTTGGAAGCTTCACACATTTGAACATTTGTTAGTGCCGAGACTCACAAAATATAGTACTGTAAATGTTTGCAGCTCAAGCCCCAGTGCAGTGCTCATGTAGGCATGCATGCATGCATGTATAGAACTAGAACAACTAGTTTATGAAACAGTTTATTTCCACACAGTGAGTGGGGAAATATTTTGATAATCATTGTCTAGAGATTCGATGACTTCTGGCACTTTAACAATAATAATGTAGTTATTTTTTCTGTTTTAGATCATGCAGCTAAATAGGGAAATAACAGATTAATTGTATTTCGAATGATAATAGATTAGGTTGCTTTGATCGTGCTGTCTGGAATGGAAAAAAGCTGATATATATATACAGAAAAATTTTAGAGGTAATACAATTTTCTCCAAATAATACATTTTGCTGGATTTGGGGGGTAATGTGTACTAAATGATGCACAAAGTTGTATTGAACCTGTGGGCGTATTTTGGTAGGAGCTGCAAATAAATGTATGCATACCTCCCTGTTAATCATCAGACTGAAGCTCATTTCTTCTCTAAGTCATCTTATTTTGGGGGTTTAAAATGGCTATATTTAGAAAAAGCTTACCGCAAGATGTAGAAGTTTGACTTGCAAACATGACACCTAAATGAACCCTCTGAACTACTTCTCTCAGACACAAGACTTTAGGTACACTTTTATTGAACCTTAGTTCAGTTCACGTGTTTGTATATTTGTGTCTAAGGGCAAAAATAATTTCAGTGCACTGCTGAGATACCGATTCAGGCAGCAGGTCTCCCAGGTGAAACCTTTAAATCTCTAGCTACACGTGCACCAGAGAAAGTGCTGCTTACCGTGCCCACTGACTATGTAGCGTAATATTTCAAGGACACATGAAGCTTGGAATAATTACACAATGTTTTGCATACATCTGATTTTTTACATCTTATTTTTCTTTTCACCTCCTCCTTATTAATTAAGGGGCTCCTGCTCTCCTCTCTTTGTTCATTTTTGATCCCATCCAAGAACAACAGCTACATCAAGCTTTACTAGTGATCTAAACTTGTAATGAATATCTATGATATCCAATTTCTTCTGAATTATTCCAGCTATCCCAGTCGGAGTATTGAACACTGACCAGCAGGTGAACAGACTAACATTGTCCTCTCGTAAACACAACTAGTTCTTTCAGGCTGAGGCTGAAACTGAGGCCATTCATGGAGTTTCTGTAACAGAAAGCTGACGGTGAAAGAGGGACCAGGGACTGATTGGTGAGTAGAGGGGAGGAACTCTTGACAGTTGGCTTGAGCTGGATGGGTTCAGAGGTGAGGAGTGGAGGTGAGTCTGAAGTGAGGCAAAAAAGTTCATATTTGATGTATGAGAGCTGACGAAGCGATCGAACGGGCTTGGCTCATACTGATAAAACTGTGGTTAACTATTGACTCCTGACAAACTGATAACGTCTTGAATTTGTCACATGCTACTTTGGTCAGGTGGCCACACAAATATAAAAGAGAAAAGCTGACACAACACGGGAAAATGTTACTCTTGAGATGAGCGTTTGTTTTTGGAATGGCAACTGCAATATTGTAAGTTATGTTATTGATTATTATTGATAATCTTGTTCTCCTTTTTTTGGTCTACAAGTCATAGCACATTGATTATTTTCCTGCCAGTATTATCTGTGTTGTTTCACTATCTTGTAACTGGTTATTGAGGGACACCCTGCCTGTGCTGCTGTAACCCCCTGTTTACCTCCTCCCCTTCCTCTGGTCCAATCACAATTCAAGCTGAAGAAGACGTTCAGCTGAAATTGTATTGAGGCAGTCAACGCAAAAGAGGGAGTGCATTGTGTGACCGAATAATCTCACTCATGTATTTGTAGTTTTTTTCTTCTTATTTTGTAATTATGTTTAATAAATTTGTAAGAGATTGCATTGTGTTTAGTCATTAATGATTCTCATTCTACATTGTAACTCCACTTTTAGACACAAGAGGGCAGAAGGGTGCTCTTTTCTTGGTAACAGCGATGGCCCAGAACTATATAAGAGGTTCTGATACAAGACACAAGAGGTCACTCAGTGTTTGCTCCATTTTAGAAAGATGTGAATGTTATATTTTCCAGCTGAAAACTCTCAGGACAATTTGGACTTAAATGACAGTGTTTGTAAAACAGGGATTTTAGGGAATCCTGAAACTGTGAAACTCTACATGTCACGTCTGTGTGTATTTCTTATGGGAAAGTGGTGACAGAATTCAAGGGACACCTTGACACTCAAGACAACTGTCTATTTTCCCACCATATTTACCTGTTCCTGCACCTGCTGATTATTAAAGGACCATGGGGAAGACTAAATTCATGATCCCTCCTATGCATAAGTCATAAGATTATAATGTCACCTGAGGTGCCATTTCTGCCAGTGTGGCAAACACAGGTGCTGTCCCACATGCAGGTTTCGTAATACTGCATTGAATGTTCAGGCTATTTTGCTGCAAAAAGCAAAGTATGAGATCTAAATGGTAATGCATGTTGATAATTACGACGCTGTTATGAGGAGCTGTTTACTTTTCTTCTTTTTTTTCTTTTTTTTAAATCAAAACCAATATTTAATGGTTGTAATGGTTTTACATGGTTAATTAAATTCCAACAGCTTCAGAATGACGTCTCCATTTTAATTTTCACTACAGTAAATTTAAATCATCATACAATTTATGTTTTCATGTTAAAACACACTAAAATATTATTAAAACACAATTTCTGGAGAAAAACATCAGTTATCACACAAAAGTCATCTCTATCTATCTATCTATCTATCTATCTATCTATCTATCTATCTATCTATCTATCTATCTATCTATCTATCTATCTATCTATCTATATACAGGGTGGGCCATTTATATGGATACACTGTAATAACATGGTAATGGTTGGTGATATTAAAGTCCTGTTTGTGGCACATTAGTATATGTGAGGGGGCAAACTCCTCAAAATGTATGGTGACCATGGTGGCCATTTAGAAGTCGGCCATCTTGGATACAACTTTTGTTTTTTCAATAGGAAGAGGGCCATGTGACACATCAAACTTATTGGTAATGTCACAAGAAAAACAATGGTGTGCTTGGTTTCAACGTAACTTTATTCTTTCATGAGTTATTTACAAGTTTCTCTTTGTTCACAGCCATTGACATGTCGCAGAGGTTAACACGTGAGGAGCGGATCGAAATTGTGTTGAAATCTGGTGAACGCAGTAACCAGGTCATTGCAGCAGATTTAAATGCAAGACACCTAGCCGGACAGTCCTGATCCTGAAGGACACCCAGAAGAGACTGGTCCCATCCAACGACCGACAATAACCCGCCTCAGTACCACCTGTCAGGCATCATAGCGGCTTAGATGAACAGGCATATGACACAATAAATGAGTGGGGCACAGAAAGGGATTGGGAAGAATACCAGAGGCGGAAAACACCAGCTACTGGTAAACCGAGCAGTCAGCCGAGACTGCAAGACTAGGCTGACCAACCTGTGCACTGCCTGGATTGACTACAAGAAGGCCTATGACTCAATGCCCCACACCTGGAATGCCTAGAACTATACAAGATCAAAAGGACCCTAAGACCCTTCATCAGGAACTCAATGGGAATGTGGCGTACAACACTAGAGGCCAACTTCAAGCCCATAGCACAAGTCAGTATCAAATGCGGGATCTACCAAGGAGATGCTCTGTCCACACTGCTGTTCTGCATAGGCCTGAACCCCCTCATTGAGATCATTAACAAGACTGGAGTCTAGGATGAGGCAGCGAACATCCAGGAATACATAGGAAGATGGCCCCAACCGACAGCGTGCTCAGTGAATACCTCAGGCAGCAGAAACCCAAGACAGCCGTAGTGATAGATGTAGCGGTTCCAAATGACAGCAACATCAGGAAGAAGGAACACGAGAAGCTTGAGGAATACCAAGGACTCAGAAAAGAGCTGGAGAAGATGTGGAGGGTGAAGGTAACAGTGGTCCCAGTGGTAATTGGAACACTCGGTGCAGTGACTCCCAAACTAGGCAACATCTGTGATCTCTGTCCAGAAGAGCGCAGTCCTAGAAACAGCTAAGATACTGCACAGGACCCTCAAGCTCCCAGGTCTCTGGTAGAGGACTCGAGCTTGAAGGATAGACTGCCTGCAGGGCCGAGAGGGATATATGTTGTTTGTATTTATTTTATTTGTTAAGGATTAATGATCATTTCTTAAGTGTTAAATGTGCCATTCAAGATTCTGTATAAACACTTAACAGGGAATTCTTGGCCCTGTGATTTCATGAAGTATGAACTGCCTGTATGGGTTAAAGTAAAGACAGAGTGAGCTTACAGTTCACTGTAATATAGCTGTTGCAGGGCTTTTCATTATCTTCTTCTTTTTATTACCCCTTAGT